CTCCACTACCTGAAGACTTGCTTAAAGGGTGAGGCGGAGCTCTTGGTACGCAACATCACTACTACGGATGATAACTACGAAAGCGAGTGGAAATTGTTGAGCGACTACTATGAAAACAAACGCTTGTTGGTCCGCGCCTATCTTGCGAACTTCATCTCGCTACAAAAGATGACGAGTGAATCTCCGGCCGAGCTTTGCAAAATCTTCCATTGCCTGAAGACCACCGTCAGTTCGTTGGGAAACATTGGCCGACCGATCGATTGCAGTGAAGACTTGTTTGTCTGTTTAGCCGTCGACCTCCTCGACCCGCGCTCTCATCGCGAGTGGGAAAACTCGATTGGCGACACGAAAGAACCGCCATCGTTCGATACTCTCGAGCTGTTTCTCGACAGATGGCTCCACACCTTAGAAGCGATGCAGCCGATCAAAGCCGAGAGCCCCACGAGCAAGATGACGAGCAGAAGACAGGGTCCAGCTCACTAAAGTACACACGCAGCCATCTCACTCGAAAACAAGAGAGCAAGCCTGATGCGAAGCTAGGCCGCTGTTCGTTGTGCCAACGAGACCACTTTCTGATGCACTGCGAGGAGTACAAGAAGAAGACAGCCCAGGAACGGAATCAGATAGTCGAGCAAAGAAAGTTGTGCCTTAATTTTCTCGAGAGGCATCAAGTAGGCGAGTGCGCCTCCAAAAGGACGTGTTCGGTGTGTGAGGCTCGTCACCACTCTTCGCTGCACGAGGCTTACTGCGATAACGCCGTCGCGAAGTCGTCACACGTCGCGCAGGGGCCTTTCGATCAGCCTACCACCGTGCTCCTCGCGACCGCTCGCGTTTGCGTGGCCGACCGTCACGGCATCTTACACCCGGCGCGCGCGCTCATCGACCAGAGCTCGGAGTCATCAATCATCTCCGAGCGCCTCGCGCAAAGGTTAAAGCTGCCGCGTTCACAAGTTTCGGTAACAGTTTTCGGAGTTGGGGGACAGAAATCCGGCAAAGCCAAGGGTCGCGTCGCGCTTTCGCTGTCACCGCGACTCGGAGGAGCGGCGATGTCCGTCAGCGCTCTCGTCCTCCCGCGGCTCACCGTCTACGCCGGCGGGCTACCCTCCGGAACGAGGACCTGGACACATGTGGAGGGCCTGGAGCTGGCCGACCCCGAATACAGTGCCGCTGATCCAGTCGACATCCTCCTCGGAGCCGACGTCCACGCCGCCATTCTTCGCCAAGGTCTACGAAGAGGAGAGCGCCGCGAACCGCTGGCGCAGAACACGACTCTAGGATGGATTCTGTCGGATGCGATCGGCGGAACCACCTCCTCCCTACTGGCGCATACACACCAGTGCCGGTTTGAGGACGAGCTCGCGAGCGCGGTGCGTCGCTTCTGGGAACAAGAGGACATGCCGATGACCGCCACCGCCATCTCCAAGGACGAGCAAGAGTGCGAGGAGCACTTCGTACGCACGCATTCCCGAGGGCCTGACGGGCGCTACACGGTGCGCCTCCCGGTGATCGAGCCTCTACCGGACCTCACCGGCACACGTCGCTCGGCACTGCGGTTGCTGAGGCATATGGAGGTCAAGTTCGACCGAGAGGCTTCGTTCCGAGAACTATACATTGAGTTCATGAACCAGTACGCGAGCTTGCGGCACAACGCTCTTCTCCGGGACGCTTACATGGGATGACGTCCTAACCGGAGCTCCAACCATTGCTGAGGCCAAGGAAAAGCAAAGGCAGCTTACCTTGATTTGCAGGGCGGGCGGATTCCCTCTCAAGAAATGGTCGGCATTCTCTGCCGAGCTGCTCGTGGCCCTGCCAGCGGAGGACCTCTTACAACGAGCCCCTCGATGGTGGCATTGTCGGGCTGAGGAAGTGTGTAAACGCCCTACACAGACACGACAGTGCCGCTGCCACGGAAGAGATGGATGCTTGGTTCGTGCCTCCTCCCGCCTTAAATCCCCCCCTCGCTTCAGAAGTGGCAGGAGTTCCAGATCAAGCTCCCCTGCCTAGCGCTCATCCGCGTTCCCCGTGGGCTCACGGGAAGGACGGCTTACCGACGTGAAATCCATGGCTTCGCCGACGCCTCCGAGAAGGCCTATGCGGCCGTCATGTACCTGCGAACCGAAACCTGGGACGGGAAGATCGACGTCACCTTGCTGGGCGCAAAAACGAAGGTCGCTCCGTTAAAGCAGGTGACATTACCACGCCTGGAGCTTTGTGCGGCGACGCTGCTCTCTTGGCTTGTCGGCCACATCAGCCGCGTCTTGGAGGCCTCGGACATCCCTATGCATCTTTGGTCAGACTCAACTGTAGCCCTTGGATGGATCCGCGGCCACCCAGCCAGCTGGATGACGTATGTGGCCAACCGTGTCTCGGAGATTCAAACGTCCTTGCCTGATGCCGTGTGGCACCACATTCCCGGACAAGACAACCCAGCCGACTGCGCTTCGCGAGGACTGTCACCGAGGGAGTTGGTAAACCACCCCCTCTGGTGGCACGGCCCGACGTGGCTGAGCACGGATACAGGAGGCTGGACGACTGCGGGGGACGGTGACGGCGAGAGGGAGCTCCCCGAGCAGCGCGCCTCGAGCCACGCGGCCACGTTAATCAAGGAGAAAAGCCAGGAACCCGAGATGCTGAAGCGGTACTCGGCCCTGCACCGGTTGCTACGGGTCACGGCCTGGTGTCGTCGCTGGCTACGCCGACCCTTGGAGAGGCTAGCGCCCGATGTACGGACCAACCCTGCCGTCCAGCGCGTTTTTCGGGCAGCTGAAGTCGAGGAAGCGCGCCTGAGTTGGATCCGAGTCATCCAAGCTGAAAACTTCAAGGCGGAGTTAGCGGCTATCGAAAATGGCAAACCTTTGCCCACCCGAAGTAAACTTACCCGGTTAACTCCTTTCAGAGACCCCCAGGGGATCCTCAGAGTCGGCGGTCGGATAAAGCGCGCCCTCCTCTCCTATGACGCCAGGCACCCCATCATCTTACCTAGAGAATCCAACTTCACTCGCCTCATCATCGAGGCGTGTCATCGCCGGACCCTGCACGGGGGCGTGCAGCTAACGCTGGGCTCCATCCGCCAGGAGTACTGGATCTCCCGCGGGCGGACTCGTCAAAGGCAGCATCCACCGCTGCTTAACGTGCCTACGATGGCGGGCGGCGACTTCACAACCACTCATGGGGGACCAGCCGCGGCCTCGAGTGACACCGGCTCGGCCGTTCCTCCACACAGGGGTCGACTACGCGGGACCAATGTGGTTACGAACCTCCGGGGGACGAGGGCAGCGCGCTACTAAGGCCTTTTTGGTGGTCTTCGTCTGCCTTAGCACCCGCGCCGTCCATCTCGACGTAGCGTCCGACTATTCCGCTGATGCCTTCCTGGCCGCGCTGCGTCGGCTCATTGCTCGCCGGGGGCTATGTCGAGCCCTCTACAGCGATTAGCGGCACAAACTTTGTGGGTGCCGACGCCCAACTGCGAGCGCTCTTTACAGCCAGCGGCCAGGAAGGCCAGCGTATCGCGAGAGGCCTCGCCGCCGAGAGGATTGAATGGCGCTTCAATCCTCCGGCGGCCCCCAATTTCGGTGGACTCTGGGAGGCGGCTGTCAAGGCGGCGAAGCACCACATCCGGCGCGTCATCGGCGACGCGAAGCTAACTTACGAGGAGATGGCCACTCTGTTAGCCCAAATCGAATCGTGCCTAAACTCGCGTCCGCCGCGACAAATAGGAGCGCGCTCCAAAAGCGGCGCTACGCGAATCGCGCCCGGCCCGTGGCATCGCTCGTGCCTATCGATGCGGGCCACGCAGCGGTCACCCGAGAGAGCCGAAATTAATAACAAATTGACTGCTTTTTTTTCAAAACATTATCGTGTCCATTTCACGCGATCCTCGCGCTCCCGCGTTCACTCGCGCACATTTTCTGGTCCTTCGAGCCGGAATTAATAATATCTGCATCATACAATTTACGCTTAATATTATTTTTACTATCACTTTTAATTACAGACGACTGTTTCTTTCTACACTTCTTTTTCACAGATTTGATGCCCTTCACAGACAAAGCTTCTTTTTTACAACAGTCTTTCTGAAATATCGTATCTTTTACAAACAAAGGATCTTTCACACACCTGTAATTTTCAGATGTGATGTCTTTTATAGACATGATATCTTTTGCAGACAAACATTTCTTTCCACATCTGCCTTCTTCAGATGTGATGTCTTTTACAGACACGATGTCTTTTGCAGATAAAACTTTCTTTCCAAATCTGCCTTTTTTAGGTGTGATGTTTTTTACAGACACGATGTCTTTTGCAGACAAAACTTTCTTTCCAAATCTGCCTTTTTTAGGTGTGATGTTTTTTACAGACACGATGTCTTTTGCAGACAAATATTTCTTTCCACACCTGCTTTCTTCAGGTGTGATGTTTTTTACAGACACAATGTCTTTCGCAGACAAACATTTCTTTCCACACATGTCTTTTTCAACTATGATGTCTTTTACAGATACAATGTCTTCTTCAGACAAATATTCTTTTCTGTAGCTATAATTTTGAAGTGCGATGTTTTTTACAGACACGATGTCTTTTGCAGCAAAACTTTCTTTCCAAATCTGCCTTTTTTAGGTGTGATGTCTTTTACAGACACGATGTCTTTTGCAGACAAATATTTCTTTCCATACCTGCTTGCTTCAGGTCTGATGTCTTTTACAGACACGATGTTTTTTGCAGACAAACATTTCTTTTCACACCTGCCTTCTTCAGGTGTGATGTCTTTTACAGACACGATGTCTTTTGCAGACAAACATTTCTTTCCACACCTGCCTTTTTCAGCTATGATGTCTTTTACAAACACGATGTCTTTTGCAGACAAACATTTCTTTCCACACCTGTCCTTTTCAACTATGATGTCTTTTACAGATACAATGTCTTCTTCAGACAAATATTCTTTTCTGTAGCTATAATTTTCAAGTGCGATGTCTTTTACAGACACGATATCTTTTTCAGACAAACATTTCTTTCAATATCTATCTTCTTCACATGTGATATCTTTAACAGACATGATATCTTTTTTAGATAAAATTTCTTTTATACACTTGTCTTTTTCAGATATGATTTGTTTTTCGATCCGTAGTTGATATTGTTTTTGAATTTTATATTTATTTTGTATAAGTTTTCGAAGTGCATCTACTCTTTTATGTTCCACTACACTTAAAGATGGAACATTTTTGGAATGCCACGAATATACTAATGCAATGCGTGAAAACAGAAAAGCGGGAAAACATATTGACAATGCTATTGTAAATTTATACGATCATCATAATATCATAAAAAGGGCGCCCCATTCATAGAACACTTTTTTCTCTTGTTATTTTATATATAAAATAACAAGAGAAATGTGCTTTAATATTTATCTTTATATTTAATTATTATTATTAATAATAATAATTAAATATAAAGATAAATATTAAAGCACATTTCTCTTGTTATTTTATATATAAAATAACAAGAGAAATGTGCTTTAATATTTATCTTTATATTTAATTATTATTATTAATAATAATAATTAAATATAAAGATAAATATTAAAGCACATTTCTCTTGTTATTTTATATATAAAATAACAAGAGAAATGTGCTTTAATATTTATCTTTATATTTAATTATTATTATTAATAATAATAATTTTATCAATAATGTTTCATTAACAAGATAAATAAAATAATATTTTAATTAATCAACAATCATGATATGTGATTATTTAGAGACAAAGCACGCGTGTCAAATATGATAAATTTATGTGTCAAGGCATTCCTCTACTCCCGATCGTATAACAATTACTAAAACTGTAAAGGTTATTGTAAATATAATAAATATTAAGACATTTAATACAATTCGATAAAATTGAATTAAAAAAACTTGGCGCTGCTAACTTTTAAAGTATATATTAAAACCAACAGAAAATAAATTTAATTTAGATCTAAATTTAATTTTATAGAAATATATTTAATTTAGTTACATCAATAACTACAATGTAAATTGTTATGCCTCGGGTAAGGCACGGTAAATTTCGGGATCGTTGCCGGATTAAGATTAAAGAATCTGGGATGCGTCTGGCGGGTTACCCGTAGCACTGGACACTTTTTATGTTAAATAAAACTTTTATTCATTACAAATGGTCTTAGTTATAATTCGTCCTCGTATTTATTATCTACTCGTGTCGCGTATCGTGTTAACTGACACTCGCGTGCGCGTGTTTGGAGTCGGGTTTACGTCGCGAGACTCGCTTCTCGTTCTCCACGATTTTTACTAAGTGTGACTATTCGATATTGCAATAATTATCGACACTTGCTGTTGACACTCGCGACTGTTAGCGCTACTGCCCGCGTAATATTAATTAAGGATAAAGACTGCCCGCCGCTCGTTAGCGATGGGTCTTTTTATTATCTCCCCTTGGTTTCCCAGGAGGGGATCGTTTAGCGACAAGACCATGTGTCGTGTCGCTCGATTTTTGCGGCAAGATCCGGATGCAAGCTAAGGAGTTCTAAGGGACTTCTTTGCTTGCATTTTCGCAATTTCCTTTTCGCTTTTAGGTAGGACCTCTACGTTGCATTTTCGCAACGTCCTTATTCCGCTTGCCTTGGTTTCCGCGTTTTCGTAATGAGTGATTGCGCGGTCGCTCGGGCTTCGCGCGTGGCTCGCGTTGTCAGCGCTTCGCTCGGTCAACGTTCGTAACGTGATCTGTATTCGCGTTACACGTTGAGCAATATCTTATCGTATAAAATAATATCTCTAAAATACTATATATCTATTAATTCGTGTATAGCCTTTTCGGGCTATAACAGCACACAGCGCTAAGATCGCTATGTACGCAGGTTAC